CACAAAGAAAGAGCAAAGGTCCTCCAAATTCTGTTTCCCAGGCTGCAAAGCTTGGCGAGACTCATGCCTTATACAAACATTCCTACAGCAGTCCTTCTGAGTCCTTTCAGTGGAATCTGCCCCAAGACTTCGAACACGGTGTGGGGCGGCCCCACAGGGAGGCGGACCCGGGGTGCTGCTGGGCCCGATCCAGTCCGGCCCATGGAGCTCCCACTGCACCCCTTTATAAACCTTTATAAACCCCAGACCCCCCTTTTGCCACACTGCCACATCCAAACAGCCCAGATGCGCCAGACGCAGGGGCGTCCCCGCGATGGGGTCTCTCCTATCCCAAAAAAATAGCACAAGGTTAAAAGAACTCTGCAAAATTGCCACAAATGGCCCCAAAAAGTGAAGCAGCCTTCGGGAAGATGCTTATGGGGATTTAGCAGACGGGCTGCAGCCAGGTCAGTGGCAGAGCACACACACAGAAGATGTCTGTCTGTCACTGCTCACAGTCTGTCAATGTTTTACACTTCGCACAGGTAAATTGAATCCAAATTGTTGGGCGTTGGCACCACCTGCTCTTTCTCCTCTCTTTTCCTTGACGGATTTTACATCGCTCCCTTTCACCCCACAGAGCTGGAAAGGAAAATCCCCAGCTGCCCCATGGCCATCTCTACCTGCCTTCCACAGCTCCAGGCCTACACCTTCTCCCCTCCCCTTTACTTTGCACCAGCTTCTCTCTCCTCCTCCCCCTGACAGTTCAGGGCAAGGAGATTTCACCCACTGGCACCACATCCTTCCTCTCACTGTGTCCTACTTTGCTCAGTTTTTATTTCTGTCGCTGCCCGCCCGCACAGCCAGACCCGCCGTGGGGCTGGTTAATGATAGAGTGAATTATTGGAGCAATTACTGGGGCTGGCTAGGCCTGGTCAGTGCCACCAAAATTGCTCTGTCACTGCCTTCCTGAGGCTGGGCAGGAAACAGAAGACAAGGAGAGGCTCCCAGAGGATCAGGATAAGAGCAGGGAGAGGTCACTCATGGGCACAACACATCTGACTTGGGGAAATAATTGAATTAATTATTGCTGGGAATAAGGTTTTGTTGTTGTTGTCCGTGTTGTCATTGTTGTTGTTTGTTTGTTTGTTTTTCGGTCAGGTAATTTTTTCTCCCATCTTCTACTTGGAAGAAAAAATGGTGTGGGGGAGAGAGGGGAGACAAGCAGGAGCAAACAAACGAAATGGCCACACACTTTCACATACCACAGGAATGGCTCAGCCAGAGAATGGAGAGTTTGGAAGTCTTGGCTGGGGAGTGACTTCTCTTGTCTGAGGGGAGGTTTTTCTTGGGAATTGCAGAAATACCTCAAGAAGTATTGGGGTGGACTCTGAGATTCTTGACTGGGGAGGGGGGAGCTGATCTCCAGTGCTTTCAGTGTGGCTGAGGATCGAGAGAGAGTGAGCAAGCGGTCACGCATGTTGCAGTGATATGCAGATAGAAAAACTCTGTAACTCGCAGAGTAGTGATGAGAGTAAGTATGAATTTATTCAGCACTGAGTTGCATGGGGGATATCTCCTCCAAAAGCATGCACACCTTGGAGACTTGTTTCTCCCTTTTTATTCTCTACAAAGTAGGGTTACACAGTACACCTAATACATATTCATTTGCTAACCCTGCCTGTCCCCGCTTCGTATTAAAATTAGTTCCACGCCTATTTGCAGCTGCGCACTGCTCCTTGTTGGTCACTCTGGTGGTCGTCTGGGGGTCTTTGGGGCGGAAGTCAGCAATTTTCCATCAGCTCAACTTCTCACCTTGTCTTCTTGCACATGCTCCCTTCAGTTCTTTTGATATCCCCCCCTTTCCATTTCTTCTGGCTAAGGGGTCCAAAAGAATCCAAGGAACCCACTCCGCCTATGGTGCATTTATGCTTGCATCCTGTTTACGCATTCTAGCTCCTTATCTCATCCTGCAGTCTTTATTCTCTTGCTGCTCTTATGAGAACAGTCAGCATTTCACATGGATTTTGTAGCCCCTTCTTTTACTCAAGGCAATTTTTATAAATAATTCCTAATTCTTAATTTCTCTGTTTCAGAGGAGAGCAGGTGCCCGTTTCCTGGGGTGGGGCTATCCTGTTGCCTTGCTGCCTGGATCTGCCTTCTTGTCACCGTCCCTGTGGCTGCTGGGGGTGGTACTGAGGTCCTGCCCGATGGGACCTGCTTGCCTTCGCTGGTCGCTGCCCGCTGCTGGTGGGTCGGTGCAGAGACAGTTCGCTGTCCCGTGGGTCCCCAAAGGAGCGGTGTCCCCGTCCCCTCCCACCCGTGGAGAGGCAGCCGCACTCGCGCCACAGCGCCCCCGGCCGGGCACGATTGTAACTGCACCAAAGCGGAAACTGCGGCTCCATGCCGGAAAAGGCTGAGATTGGTTGGTTGGTTGGGTTGGTTGGGTTGGTTGGTTGGGTTGGTTGGCTGTGTTGGTTGGTTGCTTGCTTGCTTGGTTGCTTGCTTGCTTGGGTTGGTTGGTTGGTTGGTTGGTTGGGTTGGTTGGGTTGGTTGGCTGGGTTGGTTGGTTGGTTGATTGCTTACTTGGGTTGGTTGGTTGGTTGGTTGGTTGGGTTGGTTGGTTGGTTGGTTTGGTTGGTTGGGTTGGTTGGTTGGTTGGTTGGTTGGTGGTGCTGTTGCTGGTCTTGTTTGTTTGTGTCATTACTTACATATATATATATATATATATATATATATATATGTATACTAGTAAAGAACTGTTACTTCTTCTCTCATATCTGTGCCTGAAAGCCCCATAATTTCAAAGGTATAATAGAGGAGGGAGGGGGTCATCTTTTCCATTCCAGGAAGGTTCCCACACTCGTGGCAGATACCAAGGCACTGTCTTTTAAACCAGGACAATTATCAAACAAATCACAGCAGTAGAATGACTAGTAAAATAAATCCTACAAAACCACCCTTCCCCCCTACCCTTCCCTTCTTCCTGGATATCACTTTATACCCCATTTCTCTCCCTCCTCCCTACCCAGTGGCACAGGGGATGGGGGTCACAGTCAGGTCATGTCACTGCCTCCCCCTCAGGGACAGGAATCCTTGTCCTGCCCCAGCCTGAGGTCCATCCCACGGGACACAGTCCTTCAGGAACAGCCTGCTCCAGTGCAGATCCCCATGGGCTCTGAAGTCCTACCAGGAGCCACTTCCATGGCTCTGCAAGGGCTTCCCACAGGCTCGGGGCCTCTCTCAGGCATCCCCTGCTCTGGTCTGGGCTCCTGCCAGGGCTGCAGGTGGGTCCCTGCTCGATCCCAGACTCACCCCAGCTCCCAGTGCCTCCAGCTCCAGCGGTTCAGGGCAACAGCGGTTTCTTGGCCTCCTGCCTGGCTCACTTCAGCGCTTCTCTGCCATCCCAGCTGAAGCCCTCGCTGGCTGCTCCAGGCTGGATCGGCACACTGGGAGCACTGGGAAGGGGCCCTGGCTCGGGGAACAGCCCCCAGGGCAGCTCCACATGTCATGATCCGCAAGGTGGGATTCATGATGTGGTTCTTTTAGTCGGTCTTAGAGTACAAAAGATTATCAGCAAACCAAGAACTCAAACAGCAAAACACACTTTATTGAGTGCTCATCAGCACTAATATGCGACAGAGAGAAAAGAGGAGAAAGCAAAGCATGAGGAAAAGAGAGTAAGGGGATTACAGCTACCAACGTTGAAGTCCACTCAGCCATCCAATGATGCAGAGTCTTCTGTCCATTGGAGAGATCTCAAAGGAAGGTAAATTTGGGGTATAATTTCATAGTCTTTTGAAAAGCAAGGGGCACAGGGCCAAAACCAGAGGAGATTGATGATCATTGTGATGAATTCCATTGCGCGGGGGGCTGGTGTAGGGTACAGCGCAAACCACGTCTTGCAAGCCTTTGCTCACCAGCAGGAATGAGGGCAGTGTACCGTGCAACCACCTGCAAACAATCACTTAGCAAACATCCACCTCAGCTAGGCCTGAACCCCTAAACCCAATCCCTTGTGATATTCAGGGTCTCAGTCTCTGTCCTTGAGACGGCTGTGAGACAGATGAGAGAATCTTCGGACCATCTCTTAAACCCCGGCCCCCATGGCAGCTCCAAGGCTCCACCAGCCAGGATAGAATGTGGGACTGGGAACAGGGGAAGGGACGGGGCTGCCAGCACCAACTGAACACGAGGGACAAAGGGTGGAAAGCACAAGCGTTTAATGAAAAAGTAAGAAAATAATGCAGGAAATAACAGTGCCTGGCCTCCAGGAGATGAACCTGCAGGAAGACGACATGATATGGAAACTGATGTGTTTCTCTTGCACTACACATTTATACACTAGCCTTTTATGTCTATCTTGCTAGGACACTGCAGATACTGCCATGTGAACGTGATCTTGGCAATATTGGAATCATCACCATTACTGATGGGGATCACACAGGAACATCTCACAGGATGTTCTGAATTGGAAGGAACACACAAGGATTGAGGCCAGCTCCTAAGGGATTGGCTCATGTAGGCTCAAATCCCAACCTTGGCTTTATTGGCACCTTGCCCCAACCAAGACCATGTACACATGGAAGTATACACAGTGTTATATCAAGATAGACATAAAAGGTTAGTGTATAAATGTGCAGTGCAAGAGAAACAGGGTAAGTCCTGGAGTGGCTCCAGAAGGAGAAAGAAACCCCCAGCCCCAGCCCAGGCAGCCACACATCAGCTTGCACATCATGTCCTCTTCTTGCAGGTTCATCTCCTGGAGACCTGGCACTGAGGTTGTTAGCGTTCAGGAACACACATAATCACGGAATGATTATATGAAGTTGCTTTATGGAAGAGCTCTGGGTGTCAGGGGTACACATACCCAAATCTGACCCGACTTGGTTTTGAGTTGAACATGTTTTTATACTCTATCGTTATATAACTTACATATTAATTATTAAACTTACATTGTTCTATTGTATGCATTGTTTTTACCTAAGCATGGATTTCTCGTGATCCCCCTCAGCCCCCTAACATTGTTCCTGATGTTCTTTAAACAATAATTATATCTAATCATATCTAACAATTGTATCATGATCACCTACTGCTTACACAGGCGCAGTTTCACCTGATCTTTAGCAAGCACAAGGCCTAACATTTCCCAGGGCCTACTTTTCCCAGGGCTTTCCAAACCTAACTTTCTTTCTAAGTCCCCAAATTTTCTAAGATTTTAAGACCTTCTACTATCAAGGTGACCCTGAGAGCAAACACTGAGATGTTCACAAGATCAGGCACTGAGGTGACCCCAAGGGTCTGTGCAAGGCTGACGCTGCAGCTGAGGAAGGGCATCCCAGGGCTGGGAGGGAAGAGGTGAAGCTGTGACCGCCCAGTGTGGAGAAGGTGCTTTGTCCAACTCCCGTTACAAGTGAGTTTGGGGTCTGCTGCAGAGATAGGGCATTGGATTTGAGCAGAATACGCTCCTGAGTTTATTCTCAGCCAGGTACACACACACTCCATTGCCCAGGACAGGAACCCTGTAAGGAGGAGCAGAGAAAGTGCTGGCACCACAGGGGATACTTGGTGCCCCCATGCCCTCCATGACCTGCCCGTGCTCCCCAGGCCCTGCTCAGCTCCCAGGGACTCACGAGGAGTTGAAGCTGCTGCCATCCACCCACTGAAGCTGCTCTCCCAGTCTGCGAAGCCCGAGCCAGTGACAGACCTTCCTGCTGAGGTCAAAGAGGAACTCCTGGGAAGTAGAGAGGAGCCGGCAGGGGAAGCTGCACCTGCAGCACAGGATCCCCCCAGGCTCCCCTCGGCCATCCAACCTCCCCCCACTCACCATTTCCTCATCCCTGAGCACAGCCAGGGAGGCCCCGAGCTCAGAGCATTGAGCCTGACCCTGATCCCAGGTGCAGTGATCCTTTGAGAGGAAGTAGCAGATCCTGCGGTACCCGATCCATCCATCTGGACAGGCCAGCAGCTGCGAAGTGTCAGGAACAACTGGAATTTCTGTTTGTCTTCCCCCTGCAGAGGGAGGAAGAGAAGGTCTGAGGATTCCCCTCCACAGGCAGCAGGAACCCTGCTGTGCCCTGAGGGGCTGGGCCGAGGCAGCAGTCTCTCCCTTACCTGACTGTAAAGCCAAGGGCACCACCAAAGTCGGGACCAGGATCACAAGCACGGCCAGGGCCACCTTCGGATTGGATCTGGTCCACTGGCCTGGAGTAGGAAAGAGCCGCTGACTGTGAGGATGGGGCTGTCCTGAGCAGGCGCAGCCCCTGCATTCCCCCACCCAACACCTGGGGAGCACAGGAGGGACCCTCCAGTCTGTGCGCCCCTCACTCAGCTGGCAGCAAGAAAGACAAGGGACAGGGACACAGCCAGGGCCTGGGCACAGCCACAGTCAGGGCTAGGGGACAGCGGGTGGCAGGAGAATGGCCCAGAGCCAGGGCAGCTGGGGGTGTCAGTCCCAGCCACTGTGGGGGTCCAGCAGAGCACGAGGCCTCTTCCAGAGCCCTGGAAACAGCCATACTCCCGCCAGCCCTGTGCTCCTGGGGTGACTCTGTCCTCTCCCTACAGGCCACAGCGCTAGCCCTGCACTCACCCAGAAACCGTAGGGTTTTCTTCTTTACATTCACAGCTTCTGATCTGTTATGGGACTTCAGGTGCTCCTTCCCACTCCCAGTGCTGCAGCAGAGCTCATTCTCCACATCTTCACCCATTGCACATTCAGCAGCAACACCTTTCTGCTTAGGACAAGCGGCTTCTTGCTCCCGAGGCAAGTGTGCAACCCTGGCTGCTGACACATGCTGGAGACCCGGGAACTCAATCAGAACCCTGTGACAGGAGCAGGATTCCCTCTCCTCCAGCTCACAGCTGGGCTCTCTTGGCTTGGAATAAAAAACACTGGTTTCCTGAGTCATCAACAGTGCAGAAAAAGCCTTTCAGAGTTCCGACCCAGGAAGAGTTTCGAAATGACAAAGACTGAAGGTTAATGGCCCATGACGAGAGACCCACCCCGGCTGGTTCCGGCCCTGCGGTTCTCCAGGCACAGGACGGCAGTGCCGGGCCAGTCCTGCCCTGTCCCTGCTGCTCGAGAACGCTGCAGCAGCATCTGCAGCACAAGTGCAGACTCCGGGAGCTCCGGCCCCCTCTGGCTCTGCAGCTGCTGCAGACGAGCTCCGGGCTGGGACAGGAGCTCGGGAAACGAGATGAGGCGGGAGGTATCAGCCAATGGGAGAATAGGGCGGCTTGGCGCTCTGAGCGGAACTGCCCCGGTTGTTTACCCGAACTCCGGCCGTTTCTCGGAAGAGGTGCTGTGTTGGGACCAGACATTCCAGGCCACTTTCACATCCGACTTTTCAAATTAGCAAAACAATGGAATAATCACCAAGTGAACAGCGGCGTTTCCGCACCCTGTGTCAAGCCCGCCCCTCTCTCCCTTTGGTCGACGTTTCCCGCCACGTCTCGTTCTCGCGCGCTGATTGGGCAGAGCTGGGCAGGGAAACGATCCCGCCCCGTCCCATTCCGCCTCCCGGATTGGCCCTCAGGGCGCGGCGCGTCTTTGGAAACCGGGAGTGACCGCAGTGACCAGACCGGACTCCGGAGCCCGGTGCAGCGGCGGCGGAGCTCGGAGGCGGCCCCGGCCATCGCAGGTGGGAGCCGCGCTCGGTTCTGCGGGGGCTCGGGG